TTAGCCGAACTCGTCACTTTTATACAGTTGAGCGCACCTTGTCATTGACATGATCCTCATTCTACCGATACTTCTTTCCTTTCGTTTCGTTACTCGGCTACAATTTATTTCCTTGAAAAGCTGGTTGTTCTACACAGATCATTTTACAACGTTTTACAATTTCCGGGACCTTAATTCTATTTTACTTGTTTGTAATTGAATGAATCAGTTTAAATTTTTTTTCATAAAAGCTGAATAAAAAATTAGATAATTTTTATACTTCCAAAGCTCAAACGTATTTTCTGCAGTAAGCAGATTATATATTGATATGTGCATTAAACGCATTATTTGAATAGATAATTACTATTATCAATTAAAAATTGTTGAGGAAAAAACAACTAAGCTTTCATTCTGTTTACCACTTGAAGTATTTTTTTACGTCATATAGGCAGGAAAAAAGTGACTTAGGAACAGTAAACCAAACATGTATTCTGCTGCCAGATTTTCTTGAGGTTCTTTCCTTTTCTTAGAGTTGACTCAGACAGATATATTGCTCAGCTATGGTTTGCGCTTTTGAAATCAATTTTAACCCACGTGATGATTTTCGTATTTTGTCACTGTAGAATATGTGCTATCCCTTTTCCAGAAACATTTTTTAAAACGAGATCTGCGTCAAAAATTTAAAACCTGTCGAAGCCTTTTTATGGTTAACGAACTTAAGAGCAATAAAATTTGCTTTTCAGACTTCAAACGACATAACTTTGCATAGGAACTAGATAAACGTAGAACTTCAAATGTTGCTGTTTGATAAAAGAAGTAATTAGCTGCCGGTAGTTTTGTCTTAAAATCGTTCCAAAAAGTTTCCACTAAGAATCTGACAAAAAAAAGTGCTAAAAAGCATGATTTTTCCCGCCACCTACACGTAAGTTCTCGACTTTCTGACGTTCGGATGAACAATTATATACGTTGACATTTGTTAAAATTTTCATTTTTTGACGGAACTGAAGCCTATTTAAAAGCTTAGTTCATTCTTAAAGAAACATTTTTGAACGACTTCGAAAGATGGTTGAAGGCTGTGCACATAAATGAGTGTTTATTGTGCGGAAAGAACATAAAAGTTTTAATTTTTGTTTCAAAAACAATTTATTTGCGAAATGTGAATCACAAATAGCAATACTTCAACCAGTTTCGACCATATCATTAACGAGAACGTGATGCAAAAACTGTTACATAGCAGAAGAACGTTGTATAAGTAGACAATGAACGTTTTTAAAATTGCAATTTTGGCAGAAGACTTTCTCACAAAGTCACAAGAATAAAGTTGTTTACTGGAGAGTGTCGCTCCTTGGATTTCGGGACGGATGGGTTCCAAGCATTGTGCAACCGTACTGCAGGGTTAAATGGACTGCCTGACGTACCAATCGCCATATCTATATGGTTTACCACAGCGTTGGTTACTATTTGTTAAAACTAGCTTGGGATATCAAACAAAGGATACAAAGAAATTCGTGAACTACTAGAAGTTTCCTGTCAGAAGTCTTAAAACCCTAGTAAGTTTTTAAATTGATAAGAACGCATTGACACAAATACACAAAATCCCGCCATTCTGAGATTGAATTTTCAGTTAGTTTATAATCAGTACATCGAGCGCTTTTCGCGATATTGCGGAAAGAGCAATATCAAAGAGGAACAGAAGTTGGTTTCTGATTTATTCCACGGAGGAAGCCTCTCAAGAGTAGGCAAAGGGATTATTTATGTTTAACTGCTTGAACACCATTTATCTGAAGGGATTTGAGTGAGGCCGGTTGGATGCTTAAGATTGCTATCTATCCGTCAACATCTTACCGGAAACGGTTCTTCTTAAATGCATTTTGGCTTTCTCTTTTACAATTTTTTTAGTTGTTCCTTTTACCAAATTGTATTTAATGGCTTTGTTTGTTTGATTTACTGTATTGGTATACTTTACTGCGACAATATTAGTTAGGTTGCGCGGGCCGGTGCTCAGCTACTTCTCTTGTAATTGTATTTGCAAGTTAAATCTCCGTTATTTTTTAGGCTGTAATAACTGGCAAGAGTGGGATCTGTAAAGAGTTATCTAAAGTAAGTGGTACTACAAAGCCTCACAGTTGTCGACTAGAGGTTTATTAGAATTAAGGATTTCCATGATATTGTAAGGCATTTAACCTATCTACAGAGTTATGATTAAAAGTATCAGGTCCTTATTTCAGCAATTACTGTTGTAAGCGTCGGCAATCACGACTGCCTGCAGTAATTAAGTATAAAAGTTAAGATTTACAGCAAAACACACATAAAGGAGCGACAACTCCCTGTCGGTAGTTGCGAGGTGTTTAGCAAAATCTAGGATTCACATCAGTGGATAGTGAGAACATTGTGTGCTCCGTCATAACTGGCAACGGCGCTGGTTTTGTTAAACGCAAATAACTTAGTTTTCCTCCAATAGGTACCGAAGCTGTTCCATGTAAATGCGGAACTGACAACATTTTTGAAGTACCAAAAAGATGAAACAACAAGCTGATCGAGGGGGATATTTAAAGTTTGAAGAGTGAAGTATTTTTCTTCAATACGTATGCAGACCAAAGCCCTATTTGTCACCTATAAATTAACTAATAGGCCCAGTGAAAACGAAACAAATTTGGTAAAGATGAAAGCTAACAGCTAGATGAGTAAAACACTCAGTTCACACTTCCTTATGGAAGCCATAAGATCAGGAGAAACTTACTCTTAGAAGGGGTTGGAGAAGTTTGGAATAGTTTTACTGCTTCAATTACTGAATCCTTAGGATACTGCTGTTAAAATCCTATTCTTTCCCTAATTTTGTTCTATTTCCAACTAATTGTTAAGTTGTTTCTTTGAATACCTGACCCTAACCATCTTAGTCGTTTACTCCGCTACCAGAAGCGGTTTTCCACACTGTATTGACCGATAAAGAAGTTTTTTTCTGCACTAAGAAGAGCACTGCTACGAAACAATGTGAATTACAGTTTTTATTTTCCATGCACTTTTAGCAGTACTTTCGAAATAACTCCCGAATTTCCTCTCGGATTTTCTGGAGATAACCAGCAGACTTTTTATCCACATGAGTGAATACTTTCATCGCTAAAATTCTTCTTCCTTGTATAGCAATACAACTCAAAAAAACCCAAAAATCGGTCAAAAAAGACACTATAAATGTTCAAAATTAAGTTCAAATTCGATTCCAAAATTTTTTTTCCCATCTTCTCACCATTTCCAGATAGACCCGGGTAGAGGCATACTGCCACTTGTTCGGCAAAAGTTTAGCAAAACAGCGACATTGCATACTGATTTATGGTGTTTTGGCCGACCATATTCGACTGTTCTTCGTTTTTTCTTTTTTTTTTTGGAAGGACTCCAAGCAATTGCTGCCATATTTTTGTGCTAAGAGCTATACGGCAATATTGCGATGTGCAGAGAGGGAGGGCAGCAAACGGGATGTTTTTGCTGCCCTGTCCGAGCGTACCCTTCTATCCCCCGATCGAAATGTTGTCAGGATCGGTCAGCGCGAGCAAATGTTTTCAGTTGAGAATTTCGTAAATTTCGTGTTTTCTTGAGCGAACAAGTACCTGTACCAGTGGTATTTAGGTCGATGTGTAGATGTAAAGATTTATTTTCGTTGAAGTGTATTAAAATGAATCGGTCTCAGTTATTACTGGATAAAGAGTTTCCAGTTCTTTCAGTTGTATATGTTTTTGATAAATTAGTTAGTAGCTGCAAAGTATTCTCACCGTATTTTACGTTGAAGGGATCTGTTGATCTGAGAGTAATGAAATTCTCCTACTGTTTTATGATTTCTGTATGTTTTGGTTCATTTTGATTTGAAATAACGAAGTAGCAGAGAGCGAAGCTGGAGGAGTCCTGTCCAATTTCTGCTTCTTTTTTTTTTTT